GATGGGCATAGGAGCCCTGGGAGTGGCAGCACTCCTCCAAATCACCGGTCCTGCTTCCAGTCATCATCCAGGGAAGCAGCTCCTATGAAGAAGGGACTACCCACCCTCATGGACTGCCAAACACCTACCACCCACAGGGCAGGTAGGCAAGACAGCTTACCTGAAGGGGCAGGGCACCCTGAGGAAGAGATAGGAGGCAGCATGTGCCAGGAAAATCCAACCACCACCACCTGGATCGAGTCTCCCCTCAGACGCTGATGAAGACAGACCTGGACCTTGAAAGCATGAGCTTTGGAAATAGCAGTCCTTCTAGCCCAATGTCCTCAGCCATCACCCTGGGAAGCAACCCCTGTGGAGATACAGTCTGGCAACTGCTTCTGCAGGTGCTACAGCCACAGCTTTGGAAGATCTGAAAAAAGAAAGTATCTGTCACCATGTCCTTGGAATTGTCACATGGTTAAACTTTAGAAAACGATATTATTTTTATCAGTGGAAATGACAGTAAAGAGGTTTTGCTTCTGCACTTGAAGGACCATGGGAGCTTTCTATCTGATTTGCAGCTGGAACGTTGGGATTGTCCTGCTTTCTTATTTGTATCCCTGGTGCATAGCACAGTGGTTGGCATATAGTAAGCCCTTAATAAATGCTTCCTTCATTCATTCATTGCTGACTCTCTGGGTTGGAGCAGGGAAAGGACACAGCAGTAAATTTAGGTGATGTAAAAACAGAAGATATCAATAAAATTCATTTTTAAAAAAGTACATGTGAATAGCAAGGTGTAGAAATTTCCACTAATCACTCGAGACAGAACCTGTAGAAGCTGGAACATCCGTCCTGGAGAGTAACACAGTATAGTGGAAAGAGATGTGTTCCAGGAGCCAGAGGACCTCCGTTCAAATCCCATCTCCGATGATTTCTACCTGTGTGATCTTGTGTAAATACAGTTATCCCTTTCCCCATTGTGGTTTCAATATATATCTCGGTTTGGCATAAGAAATTAAATGGGAATTTTGGGGGGAGTTTTGCAGAAGCCAGAGATGACACACAAAGGCCAGCAGACAAGACAGAAAAAGTTTAGAAACCCAGAAATGCATAAAATATATGTAAAGTATTGTATAATATCAATATATTTTATCTTTTAATACCAGAATAATTCAGACTTCTCTGGTATAAAAGGAGGGCCAAAAAATTTTATGTGGATTTTCCAGATCACGGGGGGCTCCATGCCCTCACCCCCCATGATGTGGAAGGGATAACTATATCACTTAACCTCCCTGGCGTTCAATTTCTTCACCTTTAAAATGAGGGAGTTAGCCCAGATGGTCCAGCTCTAGATCTACGATTGCAAGAGCACCATATTCAATCAGCTAGCATTTTTCATCAGTTCAGCATCAGCCAGATGATGAATTGTTCAGTACAATGAGATAAATGGGAAAACGTATAATAGGATGCCATCCCCTTTAAGCGCCTAAATTTTAGCATTTTGACCATTTGTTTTTATGGAAACCTTTCTAAACTATATTAGAAACTCTCTTAAAACAAATTAACCGCCTGTTGTTGTTGTTGAGGCTTTTTCAGTGATGTCTGACTCTTTACAAACCCATTTTGGGTTTTCTGGGCACTGAAGTGTTTTGCCATTTCCTTCTCCAGCTCATTTTGCAGATGAGGAACTGAGGCAAACAGGGAGAAGTGACTTGTCGAAGGTCACACAGCTAAGAGATGTCTGAGATCAGATTGGAACTCAGATCTTCCTGACTTCAGGCCTGGTGCTCAATCCACTGTACCACCTACCTGCCCTGCTTCTTGGTTCCTTATAATTGTGACAAACGTGATAAATGAAACATTGAAATCCAATAAAGACACTTGTGAGATATCCAGGTTTTGACCACTTTGCTTTAAGGGAGCTAGAAGATAACAGCACCATAAATATTTCCTACTTATTAGAGTTCTGTTAATTTTGCTTATCTGAAGAGAGATCCAGTAATTCATAAAGTTAGAGAAATTTAAATATTTTTCTACCCAGAGACCAGACTGACATATCTGGGATGTCTGTCTACGCATCTGTGTGTGTGTGTGTGTGTGTGTGTGTGTGTGTGTGTGTGTGTGTAAAACCTTTTTGCTGGTTCATATGTATCACTGGGAATTTGAGGGCTAGGTTACAAATCAAGCTCTTTTCATCTCTTTCACCTTACCTGGATGACCACACCTTTCCTCAAAGATGGAGGAAAAGAAAACATACCCCAAAGAGCAACTATCAATCTCTCTCTTTTCCTTTTTTCTTTTCCTTCCTTTCTTCCCTCCCCCTCCCTCCCTTCCTTCCTTTCTTTCTTTCTCTTTTCTTTCTTTCTTACCTTCTTTCTTTCTTTGTTTCTTTCTTTCTTTCTTTCTTTCTTTCTTTCTTTCTTTCTTTCTTTCTTCCTTCCTTCCTTCCTTCCTTCTTTCCTTTCCTCCCTTCTTTCTCTCCCTTCCTTTCTTTCTTTTTCCTAACTTTCTGTCTATTTCTTTCTTTCTTTTTCTTTCTTTCTTCTTCCTTCCTTTTCTCCCTTCTTTCCTTTTCTCCCTTCTTTCTCTCTGTCCATTTCTTTCTCTCCCTTCCTTTCTTTTTCCTAGCTTTCTCTCTATTTCTCTTTCTTTCTTCCTTTCTTCTTTCTTTCTTTCTTTCTTTCTTTCTTCCTTCCTTCCTTCCTTCCTTCTTTCCTTTTCTCCCTTCTTTCTGTCCCCCTTTCTTTCTCTCCCTTCCTTTCTTTTTCCCAGCTTTCTATTTCTCTTGCTTTCTTTCTATTTTTGCTTTCTTCCTTTTGATTCCTCTCTTCCACACTCTCTTTTTTCTTCTATTTTTCTTTCTTTCTTTTTTTTTAGAGGATCACCATTTGTTCCTGAATTTTAACTCTATCAGATTCCCTGACAATTATTATTCTCTCTCTCACTGAATAAACTCTTATCTCCCTAGATAGTCGGTAGACAATGGAGACTGATACCCCTTTCCCTCAGGAGCAGCTCATGTGAGGATGGTGAAGAGAGTTCTAGACAGCTCTGAGGCAGATCTCTCCAGCTGGCACTCTGGCTGATGCTCCCAGTGCTGGTATTTGGCATTTGCTCTTGGTCACAGCCATTCCCCCGTGGATGCTCCTATTGGCAAGGGCTCCCTTCAGTGGCTCCTAGCAGCTGTTGTTGTCAGTAGCTCTTTCTGATATGGGCTTTTAGCAGTTTCTTCTGTCAACAGTTTCTACCCTCAATAGAAGCTTAACTCCCATAAATCAGTGCTCTTATAGAGTCCTACTGTCTCATGTCTGCTAATAAAAAAAAACCTGACCTCTGAGAAGGGGTATGTTACTTATACATGTTCCAAAAGCCTTGTGTACTCAAGAATCTTTTGAAATTTTTGAGAATGTATCTTGGTAAAGTATAGCAATAACTCATAATTTACTCCATGGAAACAAATGAAATGTTCTAATCTAATAGCTAGAATTAAAATACACGTAAATTGCTTTGGAGGGATTTTAGCTCAAAGACAAACCTGCCAATCTGCCATTTAACTACTTTGCATGGGGAATTTGAATCCTAAAACAAAAAAAGAGATGGATGAAATTATACTTTCCTGGAGCTTGGGGTGAACTAGAATACAGACAAAGGAAGGCAAAGGAAGCAGAATGGAAAGAGGATAGGGAGAGCAGCAAGAAGAAGGAGAGGGAGGAAAAAGAGAGAGAGAGGGTGAGGAAGAGAGGAACAACAGTAATAGAAAAATTGAGAAAGACCCCAGAGGTTCCAGTGGCCTGAAGTCCCCAAACCCAAGGAAAATCTCCAGAAAATTAGGGGTCTCAGAAAGAAAAACTGACCCAAGGAATGTCCCTAATCCTCCCAATGTCCCACAAGAGATTATCTATTTCTTGTCTCTAGTTTTTGTCTTCTCACTTTGAACAGACTTCAGCTTGATTTACTTCTAGTATATACTAGCCTTTGACCTACTTATAGAGCTGAACTGATTATTACCTTCTAGTCTCATGTTCTCCCCTGAAGGGAAAAGGATTATTATGTCTCCTTTCCAATTTTATGTTTGTCTCCATGTTTCTCAATTCCTCACTGGGAGGTGGGTGGAAATTTTCGATAACCATATTATTTGAACCCAAAATCAAGACATATAGTCTAAGAAGAGAAATTGTATATGCAAAGACCCATGAGAGTACTTGGGTTCAAATCCTAGTTCTGTCACTTGCCTTAGTCAAATCATTTAACCTCTGTGGAGCCTTTTTACTCATTTTTAAAAAGCACAGTTTGGACCAGTTGATTTCTAAAGCCCTTTCCAGATATAAACCTATGATCCTATCTTTTATTTTCTTGAAATCAAGACTGTCCTGTAAAATCTAAAATATACTATACATATGTGGTTTGTACTCCTTCAACTGATCCCGTCAAGATATCTTCCTATATTTCTCCTCATTACCCAAGCTCCTAAAAAAAAAATCTGTATTATTTGCCTGTTTCCTCACTTTCTACTCCCAAACCCCTTGTATTTTGGCTTCTGACCTCACTAGAGAGAGAAGCTGCTCTTTCCAAGGTAATCAACATCTCCTAATTGCTACATCCAATGACCTTTTCTCAGACTTACTTCTCTTTGACCTGCCTGAAGCCCTTTCTCTTTCATATTTTTGTCTTCCTTGGCTTCTATGACACTACAAAATCTTGGTTATCTTCCTGCCTAGCTGGCTGCTCTCTCTCAATCTTTGCTGTATCATCAACCCTCTTCTTCCTAAGTGTGTGAGTCTCCCTTAAGGCACGCCCTCGGCCTTCATCATTTCTCTTTCTATGCTCCCTTTCTTGATAAGCTCATTAGCTTTCAGGTGTTCAGTGATCGTCTCTGTGAAGATGACTCCTAAATCTATATAACCAACCCTAATAACTGCCTGTTGGGCATATCCATATGATAATTTCATAGGCATCTCAAATTCACTAAGTCCAAAACAGAACTCATTACTTTGTCTGCCCCTTCTACCCCCTTCAAAATTTCCTATTTCTATTGAGGGATATTCCATCTTCCCAGTCACCAAGTTGTGAGATTTTGGAATCATCTTTGACCCTTTTGTCTTCTTAATCCTTTATATGCAATCAGTTGGCAAATCTTACCAAGTCTAATCTTCACATCTCTTACCTCTATCTCCTATCCTCTGTCCTTATTCAAAATCTCATCACTTCTTACCTAGACCGTTGCAATAGTCTCCTAATAAGCACTCCCCATCATCTTTAATCCATCATCCACATAGCTGCTAAATTAATAATTAATTTTACGTTTTTTTCTTTATGCACTCTAATTCAGGTCAGGCTTATTGAGACCTACATACTCATATATAAGGTAAGCTTTTTGCCAGCCACATTTGATATATGAAATACCAGGAATATAGTTAGGCAGGAGGAAAACAGTGACCTTGCTCTGTAGGCTTAATTTATTCCCATACTTCTTCCTTTTCCACTCATTAAAATGGGAGAGAAAATGAGGTTTGCGGTTGAAAAACTAAGGACTCTCCTTTGATATTCTGTTGGTAGGAAGTCTCTACAACAAGCAGAAAGTTACATGGACTTTCTGACCCCAAGTCTGACAAAGATACTTGAAAAAGACCCTGCCTTTGGTGACCAGAAAATACAAGTGAAAAAAATAGACTTAAGTTTAAAGGCATGAATGAGCCAGGGATAACTCTGCTTTTTTTTTTTTTCCCAAAGAGCACGGCAACCGGGGAGAGGAATCTTTCTAGAGAGGTAAGTTGGTTCT